CAGCTTGCAGAGAAACTGTCCCAGCACAGTACCAACCAGGGGGTGGCCCAGGCTGGGGAAGGCCCCTTGTCAGGAAACTTGAGGCCCACCGCAAAAGAGAATGGTGACAGTGGGGCCCCTGAGGATGGAGACGCCACATCTGGGGAGGGCTCCCTGGGCCCCTTCCAGGCCCTCTGCCCCACCTCAGGGAGCAGTGTCTGCCCGCCACAGCCAAGAAGAGCAGCATCCTGCAGCTGACCGGAGGAGAGCACAGGGTCTTCTTGGGGCTCCCCAGACAGCAAGGTCAGCCAGGGCAGGGACTCCCCACCTTCTGCCCCGGCAGAGCCTCCAGAAGCTGCTCTGTGGGTCCTGGCCATGGCTGTGAGCATCGAGGCAAAGCAGAAGGGACACAGACGCTCAGGCTCCGAATGAGTGGGGCCGGGCTGCTGGGACAGAGCTGTTCTGGGCCCCCCAGGGCACTCTGGTCAGCAGTGGGCGGAGTCCACTCCCTTCCTTGCCCACAACCGCTGGTGGCGAGCCCAGCCGACCCCCCCCCCCGGAGTTCCTGTGTCAGAGCCCAGCCCTGGGCAACAGGCAGTGTAAGGGAGGGCAGGGAGCCGGGGCATAATTCGGTTCCTGCAGCAATATCGGGGAGCTTTTTTTCTTATTTATGTTTAAGGCCCATCTACCTTCTTTTCCTGATTTTTTTTCTCAATCTCCAAATATTTCTTTGGTTTTATGCCACATGTTTTCTTGCATTTTGCTGCCTTACTTTCCTTTGCATGAACAGCCTGTTTTCTCCTTACTTTCTTTGCTTTCCTTGCCTCATTTTTCTAGCAGCAGATATTTGTTAAGTTCTGCAAAGCTGTGAGAACTTGTTTCAGTTGTGGGCTCAACTCTCCATCAAGGAGTTGCTCCTCAGGTGATCCAAGACATCCACACACACCGGAAATGCTGACGATGTTGTTCTGCTGGCAAAACCCACAACTGACACAAAGTAGACCCTTTCTCAGCCCAAAGGACTCAAAATACTGCCAATCCCTATTCATATCGGCATAGTAACATCTACAAGTTCTAAAACTCTGCTACACACAGCATCTCGCGAGAACCACACAGATACTATTTATTTCCCCAAATGTACCGGCAAGGCAGCTGAGGCTCAGAGCAGCTCACCGAGTTGTCCAGGACCACACAGTTCAGACAAAACTAGGACTCAAGTGCTCCGGCAACTGAGCGGCCCGGTCATTTTCTTTTCCTCCCAAGCATTTTCCCCTCAGTAAAAAGGGATTTTAGGAAGTTTCCTCTTCATTTATGAGCACATGAAAAGTGGAGTCCCTCCTCCTGAAGACGCTTGCCTGTGCACATTGTTTTCAGTTTTCTAAATGAACGCATACTAACTGCACACTTCATAAGACTCAGTGTGCACTTCCGCTTGCATTTGGCACACACTGATCAAACCCAACCCTCCTTTCTCCACCCATCTCCCCTAGACCCCTTCCCAATCCCTAGTAATCACTGCTTTAATTTCTGGTCCCCTCTTGTTAGTTTGCTCCTATGAGAAATGGTGGTGCTTCCCTTTCTGGTCGGGTTGCTTTCACTTAACATGATGTCTCTCATTTCTGTCCATTCTGCAGCAAATGAAAAGATTTTGTTCTGTTTATGGCTGAAAGATATTCCCCTGCCTACATATTGTTTTTCTGGTACTGGAGACTGAAGACAGGGTCTTCACACTGCTACATCCCTATCCCTTTTAATTTTTTCCTTCTTTTTTATTTTTTTTATTTTTTTATTTATTTTTTTTTTTTTTTGGTACTGGGGATCAAACTTGGGCTCTTGTGCTTGCAAGGCAGGCATCGGAACCACTGAGCCAAATCCCCAGCCCTTCCCTTTTTATTTTTTATTTTGAGACAGGGTGTCACTAAGTTGCTAAATTGCCAGGGCTGGGCTCCAATTTAGGATCCTCCTGCCTCAGCCTTCCAGAGTGCTGGGATTACAGGCGTGCACCACCACTTAAGACACCATGCTCCCAGGCTTGGAATCTTCCCTCTCAGACTTTCCCTTCTCATTCCATAAAGCTCAGCCTCCTCCTTTCCGTCTGCCCACCCCCCATACTTACAGAAGCAACATCTCCTTTGCACTTGTCCAAGTCTCTCTCCTGTTAGACATCTTCATGGTGCCCAACAGCTGTGACAGGTGCTTCCTTATCATTTTCTTCTCCTTCAAATAAATGCTACAAAACTAGCTCCAGTTCCTCACCATTCCCTCACTCCTTAAGAACTTGGCATCAAGCTTCCTCCCTGTGCAGATACTGAATAGCTGGAACCCACTGTTCTTGTTGCACAACCCACTGAAAAACACTAACAAGTTATAATTTGATTTCATGGTGGCATCTGACATGAACCACCAGGAGTTAGGCAATATCATTCCTTGCGATGTCTAATGAGGCATGAAATGAAAGCTGTCCACATTAGTCTTTCCTGTTCTAAATAATTAATCCTACACATGAGTTTTCAGTTATTTTTATCATTTTAAAAACAGCTTAAGGCTGTCACATCTTGAAGCAATGAATTATAAAAGCATACGATCTTTGGCAGCCTTTGCTGCATTTTGTATGTCATTAACACTGCTGGCTTGGATTAAATTCACCGACACTCTGACCAAGTAAAGTTCTTACATGAATTCTTGTCCAAATGGTCCCTGCCTTGGGACTCAGAGCCACCTCCTGCCCCTTCTCCTGACTGTTTCTCCCTTTCCGACTGACCTTCTGAGCCACGCGCATATTTATATTTTAAATCCATCAGCATTTCTGGTGGGAGGAGGACATCTCAGGTTACCCACCCATTGGCTGGACCAGCATGTCCCTGTGCTTCTGTCTCGGGCCCTCTCCTTGGGACAGTATGTTTTGAATATCATCATCCATTTCCGAGGCATCTGCTCTCCCAATAAACTGATAAATCTCTAGACGGTACCCAAAGGCCAGGCAGCAAGAGGGAATCTGGTAGCATTCTCTTTGCTTTAACTTTAACTAACAATTAGAATTCGAGTGCATTTTCAGTGGTCAGTTCCCAGGGCACCTCTGCAGCCACATTTTTGCAGGATAACTTACACTGTAACCCAGGGCACTCAGTTAAGGATGGAGGTGACTGGGACAGAGAGTGATGAAAGAGGAATTTAGGGTACAGGTTTAACCGCTAGAACAAATAGATTTCAAAATGCAGAGACTTGACTAACTGAAAGTACTTCTCTCTCATCTGAAAGCCTGGGCATTTTGATGATTCAGGGATCCAAGCTGTGTCTTGCTTGTTATTCTACATTCCGTGATGTGAGGGCTTCATTTTAGGTCAAATGTTAAACTTCCTCTGACAGTTAGTACTGAAAATACCGCAAGCACTTTCTAAAACTATATTCTTTATCTTCCCAAGCTTAGGCCCTCTGTCATTCCTTCTGCTTGCTCCTGCCAATCTGTTTCCTCTCTTTTACTCAGTGAAAGGCAGTGCAATTCATTCAGTGACCAGCTCAGAAATTAAAGGCTAAATTATTCTTTCCGATTTCACCTCTTAGACACCACAGAAATCTACAGCTTCACCCCAATCCCAGCATGGATGTCCTGGCTCCCGTCACCTCGCTCCGGTTTCATTGCAGGAGCTCCCCCAGGTCTCCCTGCCTTTGGGCTGCTTTCTTTCACTGGCTCTTCCCAATTTCAATAAAAGCAGTCTTGCCAGAAAATAAATCTGGTCAATCCACTGATAAGTCCCCCAAAAACTAGGACTGACAGCAAATTCCATCCAGCTTGAAGCCAGCTTTCTTCGCCACACTTGACGGGATATGGCCATGTCCTCCACGCTAGTTTTCATTTCACTGAAGACATGATTGGTCTCACCGCCTGAGCCTTTGCATCCATCAGTCCCTTGGCTCAGAATGTTCTCTTCGACTCTCTCTTCCTCCAGCTAACCGCACTCCCACTCATAGGTTAAGTGACACTTGTTTTCCCCCAAATTTCCTTCCTAGGGCCCCCGGTCTGGGCCCTCTTTGCTCTCATAGATTCCTGAACTTCTCCAATGCTGACATAGTGCTTGGGAGTATTGCCTGTTTTTACTCCCATAAGAGTGTAAGACCTTGAGCCGGGGATTTAGCTCAGTGGTGCCAACACCTGCCTTGCAAGTGTGAGGTCCTGAGTTCGATCTCTGGTACCAAAGGAAAAAAAAAAAGTGTAAGACCTTTCAGTGCATATCTATTTCTACTTTTTTGACCATTTTATCTCTAGGCTCTTACATGGTGTGTGAGCTTAATGGGATCGATAAATACTTAAAAATAACCGGATAGCTGCATAAATGGATGGGTGAATTAATGAGAATGTTTCTATGCCTTAAAGACTGGAACGAAGTACCACATTCAGAAGACAGGAAAGAAATGTGCATGGTAGACGGTAGAAGCTATTAAGATCTTTGAGGCACGGTGGATCAAAGCTTGTTTTTGAGGTCCTGTTTCTTCTTTCATCTTTTCTCTCTGTTAAACCAGAGAACTATTTCCCATTAACACTGTCGCAGGGCCTGGCTCTTCATCTGCAATCCAGTAAATATCTCTAAGATCAAAGCCTACCAGCTGGATCCAATGCCATTTCCCCACAGGCCTCCTGAACTCTGACACTCCCGGCTTAAGGCTGCATCTCTGGTGGAGCCTTTGTAGACACACTGGCTCGCAGTGCAATCCACTGTGACCCAGCTAGTGCTGCTCGGAATGCAGCTTCTCCCGCCAGTTATTCATACCAGAGATATGAGAGCCACGAAAGCACTGTGAAAGGTTTACAGGATGAGAAAGAAAAGAAGTTAAAAAGCTGATTAGGTGCTTTACAGTCAAATCCCAGAAAAAGTGAGAGCACTAACGGGAATACGGTTTATCCCTCCAGATATTCTGGTTAGCCGGCCAGGAATGAACCTTGACTGTAATTAGGCCATCAATAACTCTTTCAGAGAAGGTCCAGAGACCTCAGCTTTGTTTAGAGAACTTGTGGGGGTGGAACTTCCTGTTTGCTCAGAGAGGAGCATAAAGCCGGCTTGCTGGGGGTGAACAGGGCCAGACAGCGTGAGGAGTGAGGTAGGGTCAGCCTGGGCTCCTCCCTTCCCAGCAGCATGGGGAATAGCAAACTTCTCCATCCCAATCTTCTTCTCCTCCTCCTGGTTCTCCTGCCCACAGATGCCTCCGCCGCTGCAACACCGTGAGTTCCACCCAAGGCATGAAGCCTGAACTGAAAGATTACTTTCCTGTGTTTCAGATTCTTTCGTATCATTCATTCGCCTTTCCTGTAAAATTGTCACCTTCGGATGTCTGATATGTCCCTGAGATTTTGTAAATCTAGTTTATCCTTTCTTCACTTAGTCTTAAGGATTTTCCTCAAACTCTTCGGATCTCTGTATCTCTAAATTTCAGATTCCCCTGGTGATGCGCAAAGCTCTTTGAATCATTTTTAAGACCCTCGGGTTTCTTTAGATCTACAGAGATGGCGCTGTTTATCTTTTCTTGGCTTCCTTTTCTTGTCCCTCTTCTATTTTGCAAAATGAAAGCAAACCTCTCCTTCAAGGAGAGCTTGCCATGAAATATTATCTTGGAATTAAATAATCGCTAGGGTGCCAAATAAAAAAGCCAATCTGAAACGGTGGTATTGGGAAAGTACAGGACTGAAATGAGAGAGGAGACCATCTTTGTCAGATAAGGTGGTGATTGATGGCTTGTCCCAGTAAAAGTAAAGAAAAAGCTAAGGAAATACCCGAGGACAGAAGACTCAAGAGGGATTCTTGGTGACACAACACTGGGTGCTTTTGAGGCAGGGATGCAGGAAGTGGTGACAATAACTCAGGACTTTAGCTGCCATTTACTTCTTCAATGGAAACAATTCTTCTTTGCCTTTCCAGCTACGAAAACTAATAGTAGTGACAAACTTAATGTTGGACTTCGTTTAATTTTTGCAATAAGTCATTTCCATCCTTGTATAGATCCATTCGCTGGGGGAGAAGGGAACGGATCATCATTCTCATTAAATGTGTTTCGAGAGTGTTTTGTTTTGTTTTGTTTTGGTACCGGGATCCAACTCGGGAGGTGGAACCACTGAGGTAAATCCCAGCCCAAGAGTATTTTAATTTTATACCTAGCATGTGTGGATCATAATTTCAATGTATTTGTTTTGATCAGCAGTATATTAGTAATTTTGAAAATAATTTAATTATAAAAATATTATTATTCACAAATTAATAGTCACATTTTATTTTTAAGAAGAGTTAATATTCAACTTATATTTCCACATGTAACATTACATATAGAGAGAGAAATAAAGATTTATTAATAAAAAAGTAAGAGTTGGGTCAGGGATTTAGCTCATTGGTGCCACCGCCTGCCTCCAAGCACAAGGTCCTGAGTTACATCCCCAGTACTGAAAAATAAAAAAAGTAAGAGTGATCCCTAAAAGAGTTTAAAGCATACAAATCAAAAAAGAAATTTCTAGCCGGGCATGGTGGCGCACGCCTGTAATCCCAGCACTCTGGAGGCTGAGGCAGGAGGATCACTGTGAATTCGAGACCAGCCTGGGCTATATAGTGAGTTCCAACTCAACTACATAGTGAGAACCTGTCTAAAAAAAAAAAAAAAGAAGAAAGAAATTTGTATGTAGGAAGTGGCATGGAAATTCAAATCCAAGTAGGAAAAGGGGGAAAGATGTTAGATCTTTGATCATTAAAAAATAATTTTTGATGTGTTTTAATAGGTACTATTGGGAATCTTCTCTATATAATATTTAAAATTCTGTAGCAAGATTACAAAATAATGTGTCAATCTAAAATACATCATGTACTATTATTTAAAATTGTGAGAAAAATACACGTTTACTTGAAAATATGTAAGAGGTGCATGGTGTCAAGCAACTGTTTCCGGAGTTGTGCGAGCAAAAATGTCCAAAGACCATGGAGCCAGCTTCCATTATGTAGCAGGGCATTGGGAGGTTTTTTGTCCTGTTCAGAAGTTACCAAGACCCAGACTCCATCACAGAGGGCAATTTTTCATGACACTTTACTCTGGCCATGAGTTGAAAAGCAAATATTTAAAATGCAAACACCCATGGCTAGGTAACACGCACAGTTGTGGGCTGATCACCACAACTGAGATTTTCAGCTGCGACACACTTTCCTTTAGCTTCCGTTCCATACTGACAAAGAGGAAGCAAGTGATAGCCATGTAACTGCCACAAGTTGGTGAACACACACACACACACACACTCACATGTACATGTATGTTTAATAAAGGTTCTATCATTTAGTTTTCCAGGGTCCGTATGCCCTTTTACTGCAATCCTAAGATACAGACTTACAATGTAAGTGAACAGAAGTAATGTATTGTGTCCTAATCGGGATGCTCACATCTTGTGCTGTCTTAGAGGGAAGTACACCTGCAAAGCTTACTCTGTTAGAGGCCTGCCTAGTGCTGTGTGACGGGAAGGGGACACAATTCCTCCTTGTGCCGCTCCACAGCAGTCTCTTGCTCGTCAGTGTGACTGCTCTGGGTGCAGGACTCAGGGCAGCAAAGGTGATGGAACGTGGGACTGTTGACAGCAACTCCTCCCTGCCTCCTCCCTCCTCTAACTAGACTCCCTCGTTCTCAGACACTACGTGGTGCTGGTCCCCTCCTTGCTCCACTCCGGAACCCCTGAGAAAGGCTGCCTCCTTCTGAGCCGACTGAACGAAACGGTGACTGTGAGGGCTTCCTTGGAGTCTAACATGGGAAATAGAAGCCTCTTCACTGACCTGGTGGCTGAGAAGGATTTGTTCCAATGTGTCTCCTTCACAGTGAGTGTGACTGTTTGACTTCACAGATTTATTTTTATTGATCAGATCTGGGGATCTGGAACTGTCAAGATAAGTCTTGGGAAAGCAGGTGAAACAAAATGTAGAAACCAGGTGTAGAAATTAAAAAGTAGTGCAAACATTTTGCATCTGAGAAAGATAAATATTTATTGAAAATTAGCCCAGTGATCAAAGAAAAATTCTATTGATCTGGAAAAAAGTATCAGACAAAATGAAAATGTGACCTCTCCTTAAACCAAAAAATATATATAAAGCAAACTAGATCAGGGCCAACATGAGTGGTGAACCAACGGGAACGCATTAGTATTTTCTCAGAATATTGCAGGAATTAGCCTGAGCCTGAGTGTCTCTTCAGAGCTGTGTACTAGGGAGTTTTTACAGCCGAGTGCCAATAAGACAATTTTTTCATAAGCTTCAGACCAACCCCTTTTATCACATGACGTCAACCAAAGCTCACAGTGTAAGTGCATCCAGGCTGTACTATCTGAGCTATGTAAGGGAAGATGGTCTCGGTTATAACCTCTCTCACATATTTTCCCTACCGTGTGTTCTGTCTTCCCTTTTGTAAAAGTGCAGAAGTGACTGCTGTTTGCCCTAATTTTCCCAACTAAGAACGAGGGAGTGAGATTAGGTCAAAAGGGCGTCATCTCAAGAGAGGAGTGAAGCGGCATGGGGAGCAGAGCTGAAGGCCGAAGGGGCTCTCAGCATCCCTTCCTTATTTCAGGTTCCCCAGGCTTCATCCCCTGAGGAGCTCATGTTCCTCACTATCCAAGTGAGAGGACCAACGCATGAATTCCAGAGTCGGAGAACGGTGCTGGTCAAAAACAAAGAGAGTCTGGTTTTTGTCCAGACTGACAAACCCATCTACAAGCCGGGGCAGACAGGTATGACGAGGTCTGAAGAGCAAGCTCTTTCTCCCCTGAGAACTCTCCAGTCAGAGTCCATGTGATCCTGGTTCCCTAGCAGTTTGTCTAAGCAAACCGGGCCTCGTCGGGAGTTGCGTGGTCTCATGGGAAATATTTTCATTTCAGTAAAAGCTCGCGTTGTCTCACTGGATGAAAACTTTCGCCCCCTGAATGAGTTGGTGAGTTTCCTATTATTTATACAAAATTAATATTATTTCTTTAAATGGGCTTTATTTTTCTTCTTAGCACTTTCCACCACCTAAGGTAGGTAAGGCAGGTAGTAGGTAGGTAGATAGATAGATAGATGATACACAGACGTGTGACAGAGGTATCTTTTTCTTTTCTGTCCATCCCTTTTGGAATGTAAGCTCCATGAGAACAGACTTACTGTTCTTATGAGCATTACTATATTCTCAGTAGTTGGAATGATACACAGTACATCATTATGCATGCAATGAATATTAGTTGTAAGGAGCCATTCCTACTCGTACTCATTCTTAGAACTAGTTAAGCAGTTGATGACTTAAATTTATAATTGGATCAATGCGTGGCTACTTCCAGTTTCAAAAGTGTTTAATTCTCACTCTGTAAAATTGCATAGCAAAGAAATGATCTTCACTGGGAGATATAAGCACCTAAGTATCATCAGTAAATCTCATTCCTCATAACAGTACACATAGATGTTTGTTGGTGATGGGCCAGTAAGTTCTCAACATGTTAAAAAGGACTAATTCCTAGTTCTGTAAAGTTTAACCTGAAATGTTTCTATGTTTTATTAGAGAAAGAGTTATTTTGCATATATAGAGAGCTATTCTATATGTTAGAGTTGGGACTATTTGAGAACAATTATAAACTTTTCTCTTTTTTTCTTCTTTCAGTTTCCACTAATATTCATTCAGGTAAGCAATATGAAATATTCCATAATTAAAAAGAAAGCAATAAATCTCAGGAAACTGTTTTTATTGGGGAAGTACTTAGATTGTCCCAGGATGTGTCATTGAGGGTCAAGGCTCCAAACTCACCTGCAGCCACATGGTTATAACTCATTTCTGTTCTTTAACCCTCCCCACCCCGCGTGTTCTCTTTCTAGATAACTAGGGGTTTTCATGAGCTTCCTTTTACTGTCTCTGCTATTCTTGGCATCTTGTAAGTGACAATTACTTTATCCTTAGGACCCCAAAGGAAATCGCGTCATGCAGTGGCAGAACATCAAGCTAGACCATGGCCTCACGCAGCTCGCCTTCCCCCTCTCGTCAGAGCCTCTTCAGGGCTCCTACAGAATAGTGGTGCAGAAGCAATTGGGGAGGAGGATAGAGCACCCCTTCACTGTGGAGGAATTTGGTATGGACCATAGAAATCCTTGCTTCATATTTGAACTTGGAGAGTCTAGAACTTGACCTGAGTCCGTCCATTTCCCATTGGGTTGGTGACATTGGGTCTAAAGTAGAACTACTTGGATCTGTGTCCAATGAGGACATCACTTATTTATGCATAGGACTGCCTGTAACTTGGTTATTTTGTGGCAATATTTAACATCCAAAAATACAAAATATCCTTGTTTTAGTGACTGTTTCCTTATTTATCTGTGAGCAGTTGCAGTCCCTCAACCGAACTCTCTCTCTGTTTTGAGAACAAGGAGCACAGAGATATACTGAACAATAGAGGAGCTTTTACAAAGCCCTGAAATATTCCTAGAGACCTGGAAAATATTAATGTCCCAGAAGTTGAGAAACACTCACCAATCGGGCCGGGGATTTAGTTCAGTGGTTCCGCTGCCTGCCTTGCAAGCACAAGGACCCAAGTTCTATCCCTGGTACCAAAAAAAAAAAAAAAAAAAAG